TAACACACCCATGGGATGGATCACACAGTCCTAGTGAAAAACAAATCTCTATGCTACTGGGTACAATGGCACTGAAATCGAGGGCACCAAAGGGAGGACTCAAGAACCTATATACAAATAACAATGATTGGATATCGCTGTTAAAAAGGTTTAGCAATCATTTTCCGTACAATTAACAGTTCAGGGTGGTTGTGTGACCTTGTGCCATTACTTAAAGGAAAACTGCAGTTAACGCGACCGTAACCAGCGGGGACCCTCGCCACCTCCAGCCACACTGCCCGAGCGGCGTGGCCCATCTACCACCCCTGGAGACCGCCCACCCAGGATAAGGCACAACTGCAGTTTTCCTTTAATGTGAGCCTGTTTGGTGTCAAGAATAAAAGTTCTTACTGGCACGGCCAGTTTAGAAACGTTTCAAAACACGTCTAACCTGTGGGCTTAGGCGGCATTAGCCGGCAGCTGGTCTCTACTCTGGCAGAGTTTTGCACTTGAATTGTGATAGAAGCATTCGACATTATCGGGGGCGGTGGGTAGGGAAAGTCCAAAGCTCTGCCAGTCCCAAATCCATACAGTTGTCATTCCATTCAAGATATTAAATCGTTTATTGATTACACATGATAATGGATGATACACAATCTTCATTCCCATCTGTGATTTTGTCTGGTACCATAAATCAATTTAGATATATTGCATAGGGTGTGCCAACAATCAGAATAACCAAAGAAACCCCACGACTTTGCTTGGGTGGGCGACCCTTTAATGGTGAACTCCAAGTCACAGCACAGTAACTCAGTTCAACTACACCAAGATTTCTGAAAACAATGACTTCTCTGCCCAAGCAGGTTATAAATAAATTTCAAGTGGAACCTGGCACCACCCTGAAGGAATTCTAACTTCACACTGTTGGGATAGTTTACCAAGATGGCTTCAGAGTAGACTAACTTTACACAGCACATTTAAAAAAAGACACATTTATTCAGCGTCATGATCAGACTATTACATTTAGCAATCAACAGCATGGGTGCAAAAAAAAAAAAAAAACAAAAAACCAACTACATTAAAACCCTTTGTTGGAATGCTTTACACTTTCCACAGAACAGAAACTAAAATAACCTGTTATACAATTAGTCACAAATACAGTCCTCGAGTTTTTTTGCCCATACACATGAGTATTGTCTAAAACATGTCTTCTTTGTAGCAGCTAGGCCCTGCCACCACTGTGCTTGGCTGAGTTCACAAATCTGTTGTAACCTGTAGCTTCCCTGTCACTTCTCTGGCTCTCCTCTCCTGCTAAGCTTTGTTTCCTGTTGAACAATATGGAATAAAGTTGTTAATCTAAACATATTAAGACTCAAGGCTACAATCCAATAGCAAGTTGATTCCCACAAATTTTGCTGATCTGTTAACTTAATATCCACATTTTTTTTAAAACTGCAATTATAATGTTAACTATGTCGCACTGCTCAGCTACATTAGGGTTACTGGGTTCATTAGCAATCACAAAAAATGACATCTGAACACAAAAGGGCGTTCACTTACCCGGCAGTCTGATTAAAACCTTCTGCCGCTGCCGTAGCTGCTGCTGCTGCTGGAACCGCCATAGCCACCTAGGATCGAAATTCATTCTGAGGCTTTGGAAGCATCATGCTTTTGTAACTGGCACAATTCAGTTTTGGACCACATTTTCGCAATTAGGCTCTCAAGCCAATTTTTCAATGACTTCATATATCTGTTGCTGACAACAACAGTTCTAGACTCTTGGACCTCCCAAGGGGCATACGTAAAACACACCTTGGTTTCGTGGTTTGGCGAAGTACTGGCCTCCACCACCATAGGGGCCCGAGCTTCTGCCTCCAAAGTTTCCTCCTTTCATGGGTCCAAAATTTGAAGACTGATTGTTGTAATTGCCAAAATCATTGTAGCTTCCACCACCTCCAAAATTGCTTCCTGGAAATAGAACGATAACCTTAAGTTGTTACTTGGGGAGGTGGTTCTGAGTCTACTCAGCGGTCAAGGCAAACACGAAGTCGCATCCTCCCAAACTCTGGTGGCTCCAATTACTCTCCTACTATGCCGTCCTTTCTGGGCAAGGTATTCAGCTGAATAATCCAGTAAGTTCAAAGTCGTCATGGTCCAACACAACCTCTTCTATACCCTCGACCCATCCAGAACACTGCAAACACATGCTTTCCTAGACACAGCAACCGAGTGCCTAAATCCCAAAGGAGTTAAGATGCTCAGTCCTGCTGGCAGCTAATCTAATTCCAATTGAAGACACTACTCACTGTCCACTGATCTATTTGGGAGTGAGGCGGCCCAGCTTGAAGCTAGGAGGAGGGAGCATGGAAGCCCTTTAAAAAACACCATGCCATGTGCCACACAATGCTCGAAATCACCAAATCCCCAGGTAAGCATGAACATCACAAGGCTGATCTAGCTGTTGCACCAGGTACTGGGGTCACTGGATACCTACCACTACCACCGCCAAAGCCGCCTCCGCCTCCTCCGTTGTTACAGCTGTCATAGCTGCCACTCCCGCCATAGCCACTGCCCTGGTTTCCATAACCCTGTCCACCACTTCCATAGCCTCTGCTTCCTCCAGAGTAACCAGGGCCGCCTCCTCCATAACCACCTACAAGGATACAATTCTTCTCAATGAGACAAAGGTATTTTAACAATCAAATTCTGCGCAAGCACGATGGCTAAAGGCCTGCTCACAGCATGCTTGTTATGGCCAGTGTTGAGCTTGTCATGCACTAGTTTTAGTCTCTACTAACCTATTCTAAAGGCTGCCGAAACTTTCACTTACATAACTGACAAAATTACTCACCATCATTACCAAATCCGTTATAGCCGTCCCCACTGCCACCATATCCACCACCACCACGGCTGCCACCAAAGCCACCTGGAAGAAAGCAGGGCGTCTATAATACACAAGCTGCATTTTACGCCAAAGTCTCAGAAAGCAGCTGCCGCCTGCAAACATGACCCACCCCAAAGATCTCAACTTTTGAGAAGTCAGAACTACATCTGGATAAAATGTAACTGGAAGCACATGCTAGCAGTTACATGCAGCTTTAAGTTGCAACAAACATTATGAGCCTGAGGATAACTGATGACAAGTTTACTGCCAAGTCTTTATGAAACTGTAACCACACACACCTCTACCACTGAAGTTTCCTCCGCGACCAAAGTTGTCATTCCCACCAAAACCACCTCCACGACCACCGCCGAAGTTCCCAGAACCACTTCGACCTTAAAGAGAAAGGGAAAAGGTCAAGTTATTCTGGTCTCTTTCAAAAAATAGCCTTCCTGTTTGATTAAGCAAAGCCCTTACCTCTTTGGCTGGACGAAGCACTGGCCATCTCTTGCTTAGATAGGGCTTTCCTTACTTCACAGTTGTGGCCATTCACAGTATGGTATTTCTGGACTTAAATAAATAAAATAGGGACAGGACCTTAGAGTTTAGAATGGGAGAGGAATTTGGGGACCCTTAAACGCCAATCACCTAATACTTACTGACGATTTTGTCAACTGAATCATGGTCATCAAAGGTTACAAAAGCAAAGCCTCTCTTCTTGCCACTGCCTCGATCAGTCATGATTTCAATCACTTCAATTTTCCCATACTGCTCAAAATAATCTCTTAAGTGATGTTCTTCTGTGTCTTCCTTAATCCCACCAACAAAAATCTTTTTCACAGTTAAGTGGGCTCCAGGTCTTTGAGAGTCCTAACAAGAAATATCAGATCAGGAAAACCTATCCTCAGCAAAAATGTCTCTGTCCCCTCAAACACCAAGGAGCTCTGCACTTACTTCTCTCGACACAGCCCTCTTTGGTTCCACAACTCTGCCGTCCACCTTGTGTGGCCTCGCGTTCATGGCTGCGTCCACCTCCTCCACCGTGGCGTATGTGACAAACCCAAAGCCTCTGGATCGCTTGGTGTTCGGGTCTCTCATGACCTGAGACGGTAACGCATTAGCACGTGTAAGACCCCAGAGGCTGGGCCACCTCCACCTGCACGAGGTCAGCCGCCAACTTCACAGGCCCTTTCCGCAAATGCCTCCAGGTCGCCTACTGCACATCTGCGAAAGGGCTTTTAAGTGAGCTCAGCAACCGCTGCCTCTGCCCCGTTACCCCAACTTTAACGCTAGTCCGTCTCCATGGACACCCAGGCCAGCGAGAGACCGAGGGGCGAAGGCAACCTACTAAATTCTAGCTTTCTGTCTCTCCCAACTCTTACCACACAGTCTGTGAGCGTCCCCCATTGCTCAAAATGGCTCCTCAGACTCTCATCGGTCGTTTCAAAGCTTAAACCTCCAATGAAGAGCTTCCGAAGCTGCTCCGGCTCCTTGGGCGACTGGGGGTTGGGGGGAGGGAGAGAAGGCCGCGTGAGGCCCCGTCGCAAAATACAGGCCCGTCAGAGGCAAAACGAAGCCACCAAGCACCTCGCCCTCATTGTTCCCCTGGGCCGCAGGAAGCCACGTGCTTCGCCCCAGGATCGCAGCAGAAGTTGGGGGCTGGGAGCGGCGCGAGCGCCGAGCGCATGCGCCCCCGCCCCACCGACGCAGGCGCAACAAAGGCGCGGGCGAGACGGGCCCGACCCCAATAAAAGCCCGTCGGTGCTCTTTAAGCAAATCGCCCGTCGAGACAAGGTAAGCAACACGGCCCTTACGATCCATGTTTTGCCAAGAGGGACACGCCTGGAGCGCCAAGGGGGGCTGCAGGAAGGCGGCCTCATGGCGACGACGAGGACAAAATGGCGACCTGAACTTTGGGAGGGGTAGGCCTCAGCAGCGCCGAGCCGCCGGGCGCTGGCGCGAGCGGCCGAGCGCGGCCTCTCCCGGCCGCCTTCGGAGGGGGCGCGGGCGGGAATCGGCGGGAGCGAGCGTCGTACTCACCTCTGACTTAGACATGATGGCAGCGGAAGGGGCGACTTCTACGATGCTCACTCGGCGGCGTCCGCGGGCAGAAAGGAGCAGCCAGCCAACGTATCGGCCAGCCTACCTTCGGCCGCGCTCTTTTATCCCGCCTCCGCGCCGTCGGCATTGGTAGACTCCGCCCACGGCTCGCCCTGATTGGGTACAGGAATCAGCTGCCCCCTCCTATTGGTCTGTAGCCTCGGATTGCTGTGTAGCGTCATCCGCCTGGACGTTCTACAGACTCCACCCCTTGGGGGGTCCATTGGTTCCCGAGAAACATTTTTCCTAACGATTTTTATTGGTTGTCCCAACAATCATTCACATTTGAACGCACTTAAGCGTTTAACTTCTTAGTCCTGCACGCCCTGAATATTTAATAATTAAGCTCCGTGGGCCGAGCATGATGCATACTTGATCATGATGTACTATAAAAGTAGCTACAATGTGACAGGTTTTGTCCCCTGCACCGACCGCCGGCTAAGCGCACGGGTAATAAAATGGCGAGTTCACGCAGGCGGATCGACAAGTCCCGCCTGGCGCTTGGAACACGTGAAATGGCGGGCGGGCGGCAGCAGCGAACGAACGGCGCCTGCGTAATGGCGGTAGTCGTGTCCCGTATTGCGCAAGCGTGATGGGCGGAGAAAGGGCCTGGTCTCTGGATTGGTCGCGCAGGCGCAGGGAAGGATCCGTTTTGGCGGGCGGTTGGCGTTGCGCAGAAGGCGGCGGCAGCGGTGGCTTGTGGTCCGGCCTCACCACAGAGGAACTGGGAGGACGTTAACGTGAGTGACCGGTCGCGACCCCAGGTAAGTGGCGGACGGTCTCGCCTACCCATCCGAGGTCTCGAACCGACTCCAATTTGGCCCGTTATTGTGTGAAATGAATGGACCGCGGGTGGGGGCAAGTGAGGGTAGAGCGGCGGGTCCGGCTAACCAATGGACGGACAGGGGCGGGATGTTTTATCCCTCTAGGTTAGGTCGAGCTTTGCGGCCCGGGAGTTTGACGGGCGGGTGTGAAGGCCAATGGCAGCTGCCGTTGGCTGCCGACTGATCGGTCCTTGGGCCGTCGGAATGAGGGGGCGGGCTTCCCCCGCCTGAGCAGCGTCTCGCTGAGCCAATGAGCACGAAGCGCGCGGTAGGTTGGGCTTCCGAGAGGCAGCGGTTTGACTCCAATGGGGAATGTGGGAGTCGGGCGGTTGCATGGACGGACCAAACCCGAGCCAGTAGGCGAGCGGCTGCGGAGAGTACCCGGGCAGGGCGTCCAATCAGGGCTGCGAGAGAGGGAGGCCTTAGAGCTTCGGGGTTGCGAGGAAGGGGAGCCGCTGCCCGCGATGGCGCGTGGTGCCCTCTGCCCACCATGACTCGTGTAAGGAGTCCAGGAGTCCTCAGGCCTGCACCCCGCACGTCTCGAGTGGGGAACCCTAAGTTTGCTCTGGGAGCCCGGGTTCCGCACCCCCTCGTCGGGCCAGCCCACCGCTCGCCTCGCCTGGGGTGCTGGGGGGAGCAAAGGAGGTCTTTTGACTTTGAGAACTTGCCCTAGGAAAGCGGACTTGGAACGCCGGGACGCATAGGGTCCACCCCTGTGTACTGTCGTGGAAGGAAGCCCGAGAAAACCTGCCGGATAGGAAGTCCGAGTACTTGACGGACAAAAGGCATAGAGCAAGTTCTGGAAAGCATCCTGCCAACGTGTGCTCAATTTAGGGACACTGCGGCACCGGGGAGGTTGGGTGTCAGGTGTTGAACTCTTCATTGGAGATTACAATGGAAAAGCCAGTGCTTGTGTTTCTAGCTCCAGTTACCTGTTTCGCACCCTCTCGTCCACCTCCACGAAGCGCAGTTTTCCCCGTAGGGGCTTTCTCTGTATAAAAGTGTAAGTTAGGACGGCAGCTCCCGGAGTACTGAGTACTAAGGGTGCTTGGGGCTTGCTGGTGCGTCCTGCCCAGCGCTGGTCGTCACGCGCTGTGGCCCGTGCCTTGATCTCTTGGTCTCATCTTTGAGGAACTTTTTCTCTCGTGAATACCTCTCTCTTTACTCCATTAAAGATTTTCTGAAACCTTCTTTCAGCTGCTCCTTTGAGGATGTCTGACTTTGGAGAAG